GGAAACAGATGATTTAGAGGTTGGGGCTAGCTACAGAGAAGAGGATATAAAGTTTATGGCACATTAATCCTCTCCCCCCCCACCCCCCGCGCACACACACACACAATCCCTCTCAAATCAGGACACAAAACCCATGAGAAATACTCCCAGAGCAGAGATGAAAACAGCACTCACCTGTAGCACAGCCTTCAAGGAAGGACAAAGCAAAATCTGAGCTCAAAGACTCCAGCCCAGCTTGGCACCCTCTCTGAACTTTGTCCCTTACTTCCGAGATAACAGAACAAAGGCTGCTTGGGGCCTTTTATGCTCCTGATCAGGTTTCGAGCAGTGAACTCAGATCTCCAAAGCGGTCTGTGCTTAGAGCCTGGCAGAGCCCTGGCAGGTTGTGGCAGGCAGGAGTATAGGTCATCCCTCCCACCCAGAATCACATCCCCCCAAAACACTTGGATTTGCTTCCTACACCATCCCCATGTCTCTGTTAGAGCCTAGTTTCTCAGCCAGCAATTCCAAGCCATTGCCAGGACAGGCTGATCCACGCCACGGGGACAAACCCGCCACCGTTACCATGGGCTTAGTCTACTTGGCAAAGTTTTACTGGCATAGCTTTGTTGGCTAGGGAGTGTGAAAAACCCCACACACCCAGCCAACATAGCGAGGCCGGCAAGACCTCCAGGGTAGCCACGACTCTGCAAACAGAGGAAAGCGTCTGTCGGCTTAGCTCAGGTCGTCCGTTAACGCTGGCAGAGCACCTTCCGGCAGCAGTCTCCAGTAGGGGGCGCTGCTGGTAGAATTATATCGGCCAAGGCTCTGTAGTGTAGATGAGCCCATAGCTAGGCCCCAGGTCTCAACACAGAATGATTCTGCTCTCTTCTATTCTTCAGGGCTTTGTCCAGCCTAGTGTAAACGTCCCAAGCAACCACATTCCCTCCCCTTTCCCTTGGGAAGACCATTCCTCAGCTACAGCTATGCTATAAACCCTCTATGGCAGGGCATTAACTGGCCCCCAGCTATGGGGGTTGGCAAGGTCCTTTCCCTAGAGGCAGGTTATTCCTTAGTAGAGGCTCCTCGCACCTTCTTCTGAAGCTCTGCCAGAGAGAGGCTGCTAGACTGGCCATAGGAATTGCGCTCGCACACTGGACCAATGGTTCCCTTGGGTCTGTTTGCAGAAGTACATTTAAATAACGTCCCTCACGTGTTGTGAGTTAATGCCCAAGGCTCACAACTCCCTAGTAGGAGAAGTTTTACAGATTGGGAAACTGAGGCAGGGAGCGCCGTGTCTTCCCCAGACTCAGGCAGCGAGCCAGAAATGGAAACCCAGAGTGGTAGGGTTTCCCCACACCACCCCAATCAAACCCCAGCCCTGCTTGAGCTGGATAAATGCAGGCACCTGATCTAAACTGGCCATCGGGTTTATTTACCTGTTCCGTGCACTCAGCTAGCCCACAGGCAGCTAAACCTGCCAAGCAATCAGTTTCAAGCCAGGGAAGCATGGCTGCTCAGCTGCAGTTGAGGAGCCTGGAAAAGCAGGTGAATGAACCCTCCCTGCCTGTAGCCCTGAGCTCAGAAATTTCCCCTACCTTTATAAGCAGAAGCTGCACATACCGGTCCCCCCGCCCCCAACCACCACACACACACTTTGGGACTGGTGAAGGGCATGAGAGCTGTCTGTGATACTTATTAATCTGACCCATCTGTCTGTCTGATTCTTCCTGGGTTGCTTGCTATAGGATTGCAAAGGATTCATTCAAACAGGGGCCAGATTGCACATCAGCAAGAAAGGGGAGCGTCGTTTCAGTTACCCCCATTTTCCAGTATTTAAAGGACAGTGCAGAAAAGCAACTGCTTTGAAATCTATCTCCGACCCCCCTGGAGAGCCGGACAAACCCGGCTCCAGGGGACGACAAAGGACTTGGCAGGTTTTATAAAAAGAGGCAAAGTTGGTGCAACAGTGGTCCCAGACCCCAGAGATGGGAAGGCTCTGGGATGAGACTGACCCATGTGAAGACCTTTGATGGGGTGAAAAACCCTTTTCTCTGGCTATGCCTTATTCCCACCGATAAGCACAAAGGAAACTTTGTTTTGAAAAGGCCGTTCGTTCGGGGCACTGCATCCACCCAAGGGAAGTCTTGGAGGGAGGGCCTGCTGAGCAATCAGAGGTGGGCAAGACACTGTAGCCCTGACCCCCATCTGAGAGTGGTGGAACGACATGATTCCACCCAGGGGAGGTGAAAGCAGGAGGCCTGACAACTGGGAGGTTGCGCTCGGAAATCAGGCCAGGGTCCAACGTGCAGGCAGGGCGGTGAACCGTGGCATGCACATTCAAGTCATAACAAGATCGGCGAGACGGTTCAGGTGGAGAAACACAATCGCAGCACCTTAGAGAGAAGCTGCTTCAGACACAAACCCCTTCAATAAGGTGACATCGTCCTGGGGTGTATTAAGAGAAGTGGCAGATGTCAGACATGGGAGGTAATTGTCCTGCTCAGCTGGAGCACAGTGTCCAGTTCTGGGTGTCACACTTTAGGAAAGACGTGGACAAATTGGAGATATCCCAGAGGAGAGCAACAAAAAGGATCCAAGTTTCAAAGACCTGATCTAAGAGAGTCGTCAAATATGTTCATGGCTGTTATAAAGAGGCTGGTGACCAACCGTTCTCCATGTCCACTGAAGGCAGGACAAGACGTAATGGGCTTTATCTGCAGCAAGGGAGACTTAGGTGAGATGTTAGGGAAAACTTTCTAACTCTCAGAGGAGTGAAGCTCTGGAACAGGCTCCCAAGGGAGGTTTTGGGATCCCCGTCATTGGAGGTTTTTAAGACCAGGCTGGACAAACACCTTTCAGGGCTGGCCTGGGTTTACTTGGCCTTGCCTCAGCGCAGGGGGCTTGACGTGATGATTTCTCCAGGTCCCTTCCAGCCCGACATTGCTATGATTTTTAGGGGCTGCAGCGGAGTCTAGCCATAGCATGGACTGTAAATGCCAAAGGACTCGGAGGATCGGCACATTTGAGAACCAAAGCGATTTGCTCTTTCAGAGAATCAAGCCACCAGCGGCAGCAATATCATCTTCAAGGCACCAGGCAGTCACGGCACCTGCCAAGCTGAGGATACACACATCACCAGCTCCATGACACCGGGGGCCTGGGTTCAGCTCCCTTGAATGTTTCCACACTGCGGGATGGTGCGTCCTTTGGATAAGGAGCAGATCTATAAATAAGGCCAGCCCTACGCTACTAACTGTTGCCACTCTCAGCATGGCAATTGGGGAGTGGGGTTTTTGGTTTTTTGCAAGAACCCCAGTGTAGACGCAGTTATACCGGCAGAAAAGTGACACTGCAAAATTGGAGTGGGTGCAGCGAAGAGCCATCAAAGTAATTCAAGGGCCGGAGAAAACCCCTGATGATGAGAGCATGGATCGCAGTGTCGCAGTACCTCCGTGAGGAGAAAAGAGCACGTCCTAGAGCAGGGGTGGGCAAACGTTTTGGCCCGAGGGCCACATCAGGGTTGCAAAACTGTATGGAGGGCCGGGTAGGGAAGGCTGTGCCTTGCAAACAGCTCCCTATCCGCCCCCTCCCACTTCCCGCCCCCCCTTAGAACTCCCGACCCATCCAACCTCCCCTGCTCCTTGTTCCCTGACTGCCCCTTCCCAGGACCCCCTGCCCCTAACCACGCCTCCCAGGACCCCACTCCCTATCCAACCTCCCCTGCTCCCTATCCCCTGACTGCCCCAACCCCTATCCACACCCCCACCCCCTGACAGCCCCCCCGAGGACTCCTACACCTATCCAACCCCCTGTTTCCCATCCCCTGTCTGCCCCCCCAGAACCTCCACCCCATCCAACCACCCTGCTTCCTGTCCCCTGACTGTCCCCCGGGACCCCCTGCCCCTTATCCAACCCCCCCCCCCCACCATACCGCTCAAAGCACCAGGACTGGCAGCCGCGCCGTGCCACAGTCTAGAGCACCAGGGCAGGCCGGCGGCTCTCGCAGACGCACCTCCCGGCAGGAGCTCGCAGCCCCACTGCCCAGAGTGCTGGCGGCCTGAGGCTGTGGGGGACGGGGGACAGCAGGGGAGCAGCCGGGGGCTCAAGGGCCAGGCAGGACGGTCCCGCAGGCCGTAGTTTGCCCACCTCTGTCCTAAAGGGTTCTTTCAGCTAGAGAAAGACAGAACAAGACCCGATGGCTGGACACTGAAACCGGACAAATCCAAGTTAGGAATAAGGTGCAATTTCTTATCACTGGAACCATCCTCCAAGGGAAATGCTGGATTCTCCATCCAAGGACCAGGGGCCCTTTTAGAAGATGGTTTAGTCCAACACAAGTTATTGGGCTCAGCACAGGGGTAATTAGGTGACATCTTATGAGCTCACGAAAGCTCATGCTCAAATAAATTGGTTAGTCTCTAAGGTGCCACAAGTCCTCCTTTTCTTTTTGGAATACAGACTAACACGGCTGTTCCTCTGAAACCTGATCTTATGGCTTGTGATCTAAGGGACAAAGGGATAGAAACTGGCCAGGAATAAGTTCAGGCTGGAAATGTTTATAACCATCAGAGGAGATAGAACAACCTCCCAGTAGGAGCTGAGGGCAAACAATTGAACTGATCTGAAGATGGAGCTCAATACATTTTTGACCGGGGTTATATGACGGGGTTCGGGACTATACTTGCTGTCCCAGAAAGTCCCTTCCAGTTCTATGATCCACTGGTTCCTTCCAGCCTTAAACTCTGTGACTCTAGAGCTTGCTTCACTCGCTGCATTGGAATAAACTCTCACCGGCAAAGGCACTTTGGTGGGATAAGCTGCGTCTACGCTAGGAAGATTCGGCCAGGGTAGCTACAGCCGTAAAACTATTAAGTTTAAACCAGGGCTAAGCAAGCCAGCCACCACGCGCTAATAGCCTCTCAGGCCTAGACATGGTCCCTCCATGGCAGAGCCAAGGTACACTGAGGGAGGGGGACACATGGGGGAAGCTCACATGGCAACACACACACACGCTGGTACACCCTGGAGAACGCCTTGGCCCAAAGCCTTTATTTTCAGAAGTGGGTTGGGGGGAGGGAGCTGCCCGTCTTGAGACACCTAAAGGGAACCCCGTTTTCAGAAGGCAGGCGCTCAGCTCTTTCTGGTCCTTCTAAGGCACTTTGGTGGGGCCCTCAAGAATTGTAGCACCCAAATCCACTGTTTGTACAGCACCTAGCACAGTGGGGGCCTGGCCCATGACTGGGGCTTTTAGGAGCTACAGATAATTAAAAAAATGACAGAAATAGGATTTCAACCCACCACTGTCCCTTTCTTTTACTTTTCTGGGTAATCTGCCTGTTTGACTTTAGCTACAGGATGGAAAAGAGGAGACAACAGGGGTAGGAACGGATTATGTCCCAAGAACGCCACCTCCAGATCACCCATCCACCCCTGAATGATTAAAACGCTTGGAATGGTAGAGATTGGCTTCTCAAATTCATCCTCTAGCGGCTCCTCGTGTAAAGACACCTAAACCAGGCTTTATTTATCCCACTGAACTCCAATCCAGGCAGCACAACTGCACTGACTGGACAGTTTTCCTTCGCTGTGATCAGACCCATGTGCAAACAGAACGGGGTGTGAGAATCTAGCAGGCACGTCTCCGAATTCACACGCTAACTGTCCCAGTACAAGAAAGCCGCCGGCGCCAGCCAGCAGGGGTCACCGCCGTTCCGGCTTGGTTTTGACAAAAGTTCCCATTTGTTTGGTGTTACCGTCTCTGACCTGCTCCAGCTGCCTCTGGCCACGGCGGAGGAGATACTCAATGTGCATAACATCCATCCGGGGGATGCTGGCGTTCTTCCGGAACTCGGCCTGTATGCAAGGTAAGAATCCCGGCTTCTCTTTGCCGGCTCGTAGGAACTGTCTGTACAAGCTCAAGACTTGCTTCTGGAGCTTGCTATGCCGTGCCATGGTGTACCGGGAAGATCCGCTCAGATCATGTGGGAGAGCCGCAACAGCAAAACAGGGGCTGGAAGTGAACAGGTGGAGGTATTAGATCAGCTGTGACGGCTTTGTAGCCTGCTGAGTTTCATCTCACCCTTGTGAAATCATTTCAATGCACTCTTCAGCCCAGCATGCAAGTATTTACCTCAGTTTCACTAATGGCCTGGCAGCGCTGCAGGGAGACGTGCTCTAGCCAGGGCTGGATTAATCTTTGGCGGGCCCCAGGGCCTGGACCGTGGCGCTGCCATCCACTCGGCCCCTTCCCCCGAGGCCTTGGCCCTGAGGTCTCACCCCCACTCGGCCTCTTCCCCTGAGGCCTTGGGCCCAGGGCCCCGCCCCTTCTTGGCCCCACTCCCTCTCAGGCCCTTCCCAAGGCCCTGCCCCTTCTTGGCCCCGCTCCCGCTCAGGCCCTTCCCCTGAGGCCCCGCCCCTTCTTGGCCCCGCTCCCGCTCAGGCCCTTCCCCAGAGGCCCCGCCCCTTCTTGGCCCCGCTCCCGCTCAGGCCCTTCCCCTGAGGCCCCGCCCCCTCTTCGCTTCTTCCCCTGAGGCCTTGGCACTGAGGCTCTGCCCCCGCTCGGTCTCTTCCCCTGAAGCCTTGGCCACAAGGCCTCACCCCTTCTTGGCCTCTTCTCCCCCCCCTTGAGGCTCTGCCCGCACTCGGTCCAGGCACCAGGGACCCTTCTGAGTGTGGGCCCAGCACCACCACGCCATTGTAAACCGGTACTGGCTCTAGCCACAAAACAATAATCTGAAGAAGCTCCAAGCACTTTAAAAAAAGTACATGTCCTCACTTCTACACATCACTGAAATGCAGCCAGCTCTAGGGTGGAGCACAGAGACTATCTGCACAGCAAGAGCACCCCAGAGATTAGAACAGAAAGTGAAAAATAAATAATAATGCTATGGTCAACTGAAACTGGAGGATAAAGGGTCAGGGGATATTTAAGGAATTTGGCTAGGACATCAAGGCAAATAAACTTTTCTCTTTAACAACTACGAAAGGATGGGATTTGCCTTGTGCCCCATCCAAGAACTATGAGTTACCAAACCACATGACACTCCTCACTAAAAACCCCGCCAGGACCTACCCGACTTCTATATGCGAAGGTCCCACTCCAGCAGTGGTCTGCAATAGACAGGAAACCATCCGCATAGCACGTGCTGGAAATCACATGAAACCAGACTGGGATGGTCTGAGGCCACCAGCCCTGACAGGAGAAAATGAACGTGCATTTGAAATGGATAGCCCCTTAAGTTCACTGATGTCCGGTGGATAATCATTCCTCACTCTTCTAGCACTTTTCATCAGCAACTCTCAAAGGGGGATCAATATGATCCTCATGGGAACAGGAAAATGTAAAATAGGGAATGGTTCAGGGCAGGTCAGTAAGGAGCTTTTGTTTACCCTCTCCTAATATTAGCCGTGGGGGCATCTGGTAGTTAAAAGTAGGACTGGATTTTCCATTTAGGCTGGAAATTTAAGGATTTTAATTTTTTTTCTGGTTGCACACAGTTCTGCAAATAAATTCACTGCGGGTTGATCTAAATGTTTCGTTTAGATTTTGACTTTTTAAATGCATTACACTGGATTACAGAATATAAAATTTAAAGATACCGAAGAGTCATTTCATGAATGGAAAACTGAAATTTTATGTGGATTTTCCCTCCATTTTTTCCCCTCCAAACAACATTTCATCAAAATCGACTTGTTTCCACAAGTGGTCGATGAATCGGCATTTTCCAACGGAAAAAACATTCCCTTGGAAAACTTTCTTCCAGCTCTAATTAAAAAAAGCAACATGTTTAAAGTGTATGACCTGTGGAACTCAGTGCCAAAGGATATTACTGATGGCAAAGGGGGTGGTGGACAAGAGACACCCTCTTGCATTCAGCCTGTCTGATCCCTTCTGGGGAAGCATCGGAGGGAAAAAAAGAATTAGACAAATACCTAGGTCTAGGTGGACTTCTCGAGCCACCCTGACGTTTCAATGACTCTGGTCACTAAACAGAAAAAAACAGGGTGGTGGTGGGGGGGGGGGAACATCCTCTGGTTGGTAAATATAGACACAGAGAACAGATCCTGCGTTGGGAGAGAGGGAAGATAAAGAAAAGAATTTCCCTCCCCCCAGCCCCTTTCCTATTTGGTCCCTTCAGGGATTCAAGATTCTCAGGCTGGGGGGCAGGGAAGGGAGAGACACTCAGGGCATTGGGGAGAAGGGGATCACCGCATGCTTACAATCCAGGAGCAACCCCGGGCCTCAGGGCTAGGCCAGGAAAAAAGAGTGATTTCTGGGGGGGGAGACAAGCAGCGACTCAGTCTCCTGGGGTTTGTTATTGTAGGGTCGCATTGAAGCAGCCGCTAGAACCAGCACCACCTCCAAGAGCAGGGCAAACGCGGGGGCTGATAACCCTGTGCGTGGCCGGCCCCCCGCGACGCCGCTGGGCCAGCACCCCCGTCCCCGCGCCCCCCCAGGCCCGCAGCGGCGGCCACCCCAGCACCTGTTCCCCAGCCGGCTCCGAACGCTGAGACACCGGCAACCTTAGCCCTCGCTTCCCATTGGCTGCAGGGCGCTGGGGGGCGGGCACAGAGAAGAGGAAGGGAGGAGCTAAGGACCATGTGCTTCCCACCACGTGGTGGCGGGGGGGGAGGGAGAGATTGCAAGTTGCTCATCGGAGGGGAGGGAAGTGGGTGTCAATCCATGTCCGTCAAAGCAAAGTCGTTGAGATAGAGCAGGCATGCATCGATGTACATACTGTTAACACACGGCTTACTAACTAAACCACCGCATGACACCCCCTTCATTACCTTTCCTCTCTTTGTTGCTTGGTTCTGTCCTCCCATCTCCCACAACTAAATCCAATATCGAGCCAGGAATCCGTGCCCTTCATTTTTTGCCCGGATTTTCAAACCTCCCCCCCCTTTTTTTTTTTAATAAACCCAGATAAATTCCTGGCGAATATTAAACAAAAACTGAAAGAGCAGGGCCTTGCATGTGCTATACAGGTCAGATTAGATGATCCCAGTGGTCCCATCTAGCCTTAAAATCTATGGATAGTTGCATCTGTTCAAACTGTGTTGGTTGACACTGGCATTAGCTCAACGCATTATTTGCATCTGTTGTATTTAGTCGATGTGCGTATAAGCTTTTGCCACAGCAGGCATGCTGGAGGAGCAAGGGAAAGTCTGTTGGCTGTGTTTTAAGCACTGTAGTTCGGCCGAGATTCATAAAGCAGCTTGCAGGTGGGTTTTACGTGGACTGAGCTGTCCCACAATTGCCAAAGGTACAAAGTTAGGTGCCTAATTCCCATGGAACGTCAATGGGAGTTAAGTAGGTAGCCACCACCGTGCCTCTGACAATCTCCCATAACCGTTCTCACCCTGAGCAGGCCCTCCTGTTGATGCAATGAGTCGAGTCTCCACAGTGTCCTCAGATCAGGGCTAACGATGAAGCAGGCAGTTGTGCAGAACTGCATCAGTCCTTTGATGTTTTAGCCTTGAGGCACCTGTACATACGAGAGCATGGTTTGTCCATTACACCTCGGTATTGCCGTTCGCAGCAGGGGAGGTAGAGGGAGCATGCTCTGCTGTTAGCCTATGTTGGGTAGCACCTAGGAACTCCAGTCATGGAACAGGCATGTCAGGCACTGTACATTTTTTATTGCTATTAGGTATATTATGGTAGCACCTAGGCACCTCAGGCATTGAACAAGACTCCATTGTGACAGGCGCCGTACATTTTTTATTTCTATTAGGTATATTACGGTGGCACCTGGGAAACTGAGTCAACCAGGACCCATGTGCCAGGCCCTGTACAGACAAAGAACAAAACTAGCAATCTGGCAGAGCTCTGGAATGCCTGGGGCTGGAGGGCTCTCTAGAAATGTACCCATTTACAACAGGCTGGGTAAAGCAGAAGGATGGCCCACAGGTTAGAGCATCAGCCTGGGATGCGTGAGAGTTGGGTTTAAGTCCCTCCTTTACCCTGGGCTCCCTGTGTGGTGCCAGGGAAGTCACTTAGCTGCTGTGTGCCTCAGTTTCCCCATCTGTACAAGGGAGATAACCCCTCCCTACCTCCATGAAAGATTTTGAGGTGCTCAAATACTAGGTGAAAGGGGCCAGATAAGTACCTTAAGGGAGAACTTGCCCCCTTCTTCATTTGCAACATAAAGGCCCTATAGAACAAACCTAATAGACTTGTCCAGGAGCATCGCTTTGGCCTGGTGTTTTGCTGATCCCTGTTCCACAGGGCAAGTCCTGGCCTGGGTTGTGCAACTGCAATACTCAAGGGGCAGAGAAGAGGCTGCAAGCCCGGGCAACCACTCCAGAAACCACCCACTGGATTTTTATCCGTGTCAGAGACCCACTGCCCCACCTCTCGCTACAGAGCCTCCGCAGAAAGACACAGGCTGGTTCCAAGGCTCAGAGTTACAGCCAATGGAAGGTTGGGGAGGGCAACAGAAAAATACAGTAGAGCTCACTGCGTGAGCTGCTAAGGAAACAGAGAGTTGCCTGGCCAGCATTGGTGGGTGAGGCTAAGCAGCATTTATATGCAGCATTATAACTGGTTAACAAAGTCTGGAAGGGATTTTAAACTTCCTGCTTCAGGGCTTAGACACATCTCTATTAGCAACCAGGATGAAACCCAAGGTCGGGCAGATGATGGCACAGCTGCGGGGTTCTTCCACCGTCCTCTGCAGTATCTAACGCTGGGTGCGGTCAGGCAGGCGTGTGGGCTAGACAAGGTCCAATGCGATAATTCCTATGATTAACAGGATGATAGATGGCTTAACACGATGGCCGAGGATGGACCAGAACAAGTTTCTTTTGTTCTCCCCAGCTCTGGACACTGTGGTTGAGACCGAGTCTGGGACAGATAAGGCGAGTCCCAGTAATATCCTTGAAAAGCTGAGGCCAGGTCTATGCTAGAGACCTATGTTGATATAACTACATTGCTCAGGGGTGTGAAAATCCACACCTGAGTGGTGTAGCTATGCCCACCTTAACCCGCCACGTAGAGAGCGCTAGATCAGCGGGAGAGCCTCTCGCGGAGATGGAGTAACTACGCCAACTGGAGAGCTCTCTCCCAGCAGCGTGGGAGCATCTTCACTTAAGTGCTGCATCGATGCGGCGTTTTAAGTGTAGACCGGCCACGTTGTACTAAATGCAACATTTATGCATTATTATGGGCCGGACTGCAGGGACGGTGGGGTGGGGTGATGTGAGGCCAGGGGGCAGTGGCAGAGGGCTATATTAAAATTGCACCAGGCAGGAGTGGAGTTATGAAACAATAAGCATGAAGTAGATTTCCCGGGGAAGCCGGAGGGGAGAGTGAATGAAAATTACCCACTTCCAGTTACGCAAAAACCCAGCCTTTTGCAGCTGCGCCCTGAGAAGGGGGCCATTGTCTGCTGAGCACCTGTCCGAGAAGAGATCAAAGGGCCCACCTGTATAAACCAACAGTTCAACTGCCCAGCTTGGGTTCTATTTCTGAATCTGAGTTACGAATTTGTAACCATAGAAAAAGCCAGTTGCGGGTTTTTGAGGACTGACACCTACCCGAGACTGAGGCTTATCTCTGGTAAGCTTTTAAGCATGGGTTTAGGTTCTTGTAGTGTTTTTAATGTGTTTTCTCTGTAATGCTTTCACCTTAAGAATAAACATGCTTGCCTAGAAAGAGCTGTGTGATAACTTGGAACTGCTGGTAATTATACTGTTCATAACACCTGGAGAGAAAGCTGCCCTGCCTGGGCAGTCTGGCTTGCTGGGAATATCACAGCATAGGCAGGGAACTGTGCAGCCTGGAAAAAAGCCTGTCAGAAGGGAGAGACCCAAGGAAGGTGAAAGGTGGGAGCCTGGAAGCTGTAAGTGGGTGCCCTTGGTGGGTCACAGAGAGGGAACGCAGGTGCTGTTGGCCTGAAACTGTAAGAGTCCACCAGCTTGTGGGGCAGTTGGCAGCAGAATCATGGATTGAGTTGAACCAAGTGCTGCTCTGTAGATCCCATGGTCAGACATTGGGCCTCTCTCCTTACCTGTAGCTCCTCCTAAGCAAGCACAAAAGCTGGGCCACTCTTGGTTTGGATTTTTTTATTCTAGTCATTATGATCGCATAGCATCAGCTACCACTACATAATTCTCCACACAGAGGAAACAGGCAGGGCCCAGACAAAAAGAATCTGTGGAAGTTTTGTTTGCTAAACAAAAGGAGCTAGGTCAGCAAATCCAGTTACCACATTTTAAAAGGAAATGTACGCATTAGGAAGATCCTAACCAATGTTAACAATATGTCATTGGTACAAAGAGACGTTTCCCCCGCCACACACACACCCATTTATAGTCCTAGAAGTCCTAACCAGCAGTCAAACATTACCATGGGACAGGTTGTAATTGCCCTGGGACACTTTTAAGGGACTGATTAATCCAGGTTTCAATGTCCTAGTGAAATAAAAGCCACTGGCCGAGCTGGATTTAAAGCCACGAAGCTGTGACAGACAGCAGGAATGGCCTAGCATTAGCTGAGAGAAAAAGGGAATTGCTAGATTTGAGTAGTAGGGTAAAGAAGTTATTTACCAAGGACCAACCCAGCCTCCTCCCTCCGGCATCAATGCGAGTTCCAACCCTGATTTTGATGGGAGAAAGGGCAAGGGGGGTGTCAGTAAACAGATTTACTCCCACTTCCTGCCCAGTTGTAGGTCGGCATCACAGACAGTGTTGTGCATTTAGTGCCGCTGGATCATTTTACAACCTCCCACGGAAAGTTAACGCACAAGTTTAACCAAGCGGTTAGTCTGGTTTCAGGCGATTGTCTGTGTAAGCTCAGATAATCCTCACACTGATCCAGTTGGAGAAAGCATTTTACTCTGTTCAATATCCATACAAGCGTACCAAATTACTGCATCAGACCAGATACGACTTTTCTCCACCAGGATCCAAAGTCACATGGG